GACCGCCCTGCCGCACCATGGTCTTCATCACAGGCTGCAGGGGAATCTCTGCTCTGGTGCCTGGAGCACCTCCTCCCCCTGCTTCTGCACCGACCTGGGTGTCTGCAGGGCTGCTCCTCTCGCATCCTCTCACTTGCTGTTGCACAGGTTTTTCCCCCCTTCTTAAATACGTTATCCCAGAGATGCTACCACTGTTGCTGATGGGCTCGGCCTTGGCCAGCAGCGGGGCCGCCTTGGAGACGGCTGAGCTTCTGGCAGCTTCTCACAGAAGCCACCCCTGCAGCCCCCGCTACCAAAACCTTGACATGTGAACCCAATACAGAATTTTTCAGGAAATATTAATCTTTAGAGGCCTGGACTTTGGTGATGTACAGGAACTTTTAATGTTGTTTATCTAGCAGACGCATTCATTTGTTTCCCCAGTGTCATTACTTGCTGTGCTATTCTCAACGTATCACTGTACCTCGAGCTGTCCACAGCCCCAAATCATTATCTGCAAGTCTCATTACACACCAGAAGGACAATACTCCCAGGAAACCGAGACCATCTTCATACAGGACTATATCATTCTGACTCTCAACTCTAATTCAATCCTACACTCCTACTTTTAAACTTACATCTCACTTTAATGTGTAAATTATCCACTGCTTTAAAGCAGCACTGCTAGATAATGCGCTCTATTATTATTTTTTAATGCAGATCTAAGAGGACATAATGCAAAGGATCTTTTCATGAACGAAGCCCAAAGGGTGGTGGGGTTTTTTTTTCTTTCCAGCTATCACTTTTTATTTCATTTGTTATATGTTAAATTCCTTTTTGACATATCCTGGCAGAAATAAACCAAAAAGGACAAAGGAAATTCCATATTGGATAAATGGAAAGAACAAAGAAGAAAACATAAAAAAGATAAATGAATACACTTACTAAAATAACCAAACAGCCATCTGAAATGGCTGATTAATAACTGTCCTCATACCGCCTATACTGCAGACACTTTCTAACAAGAACAGTAAGAACAAGACATGTTTATTGAATATTGAAAAATATAAAATGGATATAAAACATGATTAGTAGGAAGGACAACTGTTAGAGTTGGTTTCAGATAAACTAAATTTGCAGGATTTATGAGTTCCCTTCAAGAGACTAATGGATGTTTAGATGACTAGAGAGAGGAAAAAAATTGGATTTTGGTATTTCTTCAGCAGTTCCAAGCTTATCACTTGGAGTATATAATTCTTCTTAGCCTGTTCTGCTAAATGAAGAATATGTCATCGCATTCAGTTACAAAACTCAAAGGTTAAACAACGAAACCACACAGCTTCTAAAATGCATCACACTCTCCTGGCATACGGAATAATTAAAGACAAACTGAGTGTGGTATCAACAATAAATACATGGTAGCCAGAGAAGTGAGGGAATAAATTAAAAATGCACAGTATATGCAAATGAAAGTAGAATGCTGAAGAGTTCAAATAACCTGCTCCCAGAGGATATTGGTTGGAAGAGGTAATATTTTACAGAAAGCAGAGGACTAGATGGTCTTCCACAATTCTAAAAGGTGCTTAATATTCCGAAGACATGGGTCACAGTAGCTTGTACTGTTTAATGTTTCTATTAACTCTCATTTATAAGCAAGTAGCATCTGATCACACTCAAAGCTCAATAAGGGCTTTTTGAGATTGCCAGCAACCTTAATCCAAGGTGACTATTTCACTATCGTATCTAAAGAGGCAACCCATTTCAGCTTCAAAGCCCTGAGACAGAAGAGCTCCGTATCTACAGCGCTCTCAAACACTGTCTGGATGGTTTGAACATGAAATTAGGCCCTCCTGAAGGAGCGATCCCTGTAAATAAGCATATGATCTATTCTGCTCTATGTAATTGTTAACCTCAGAAATGCCCAGACTGGAGATTACCGAGTATATTTGTTAGGAAGATCAAGCCAGCTATTAATAAAGGCCAATTTGGCGGATATGTTGGAGTTACAAGGAGTACTGTCAATGAGGGCAAATCAAAGAGAAAACTGCTTGTATCAGAAAGCTATCTCCAGAGGTGTTATGAATTCATTTTATTTCTTATTCTTCTCTGACCCAGCTGACATTATTATTGAATATACATGTACTTGTTTGTCTTTTCATCCATAGCTAATGCAAAACACCACTTTAGGGAAAG